GAAAGGAGTCCGAAATTGTACTAATCACCCCATTGCCAAATGTTTATCCTATCACAGACTTTCTTGTAATCATTGAGCATCTCTTTCCAAAATCTCTCACATGTTTGTTCCTAGAAATATTCAGGAAGCACTAGATTATCAGAATTGGAGATTAGCAGTCATGGAGGAAATGAATGCGCTCAAAAAGAATGAGACTTGGGAGATCGTTGATTTGACAAGTGATAAGAAGACTGTGGGGTGTAAGTGGGTATTTACAGTAAAATGTAAGGCTGATGGCAGTGTAGAAAGATATAAGGGAAGACTAGTGGTGAAGGGGTTTATACAAACCTATGGAATAGATTATCATGAGACATTTGCTCCAGTTGCAAAGATAAACTCTATTCATGTTCTACTGTCCCTAGCCGTGAACAATCACTGGCCATTGTATCAGTTGGATGTAAAAAATGCATTCTTAAATGGAGACTTAGAAGAAGAGGTGTTCATGAGTCTACCTCATGGTTTGAAGAAGAATTCGGGAAGAATTAAGTATGTAAGTTGAAGAAGTCTTTGTATGGACTGAAACAGTCCCCTAGAGCGTGGTTCGAACATTTTGGACAAGCTGTAAGGAGTTATGGCTACTCCCAGAGCTAAGTGGATCATACTATGTTTTATAAACACTCGGCTGGCAATAAGATTGATAATCTAATTGTTTATGTGGATGATATAATCCTAACAGGAAATGATGATGCAGAGTTGGGAACCTTGAAGAAGAAACTTGCAGCTGAGTTTGAAATCAAAGACTTAGAGACGGTGAAGTATTTCCTTGGAATGGAGTTTGTTAGGTCTAAGGAAGGTATATTCGTCAATCAACGCAAATATATACTTGACTTACTCAGTGAAACAGGCATGCTAGGTTGCAAGGCAACCGAGACACCCCTTAAACCAAACTTAAAACTACAACCGGCCAAAGAAGAAGAAATGGTGAACAGGGAGCAATATCAGAGACTCGTTGGAAGACTAATATATTTGGCTCATACACGCCCAGATATTGCATTTGCAGTAAGTTTGGTAAGCCATTTTATGCATTCACCTGGGAAAGAACACTTTGATGCCATGTATCGAATTCTAAGGTATCTAAAGGGAACTCCTGGGAAAGGATTGTTATTTAAAAGGCAGGGACACTTGCAAATTAAGGTCTACACAGATGCTGACTGGGCTGGAAGTTCAACTGATAGAAGATCAACATCGGGGTACTGTACCTTTGTTGGTGGGAATCTAGTTACTTGGTGAAGCAAGAAACAGAATGTTGTTGTGAGAAGTAGTGCTGAAGCCGAGTTTAGGTCCCCTTGCTCATGGAATTTGTGAAGTAATATGGATTAGAAGACTTCTGGAGGATTTGAAACTGGCAGAGGTCTCACTTATGAAAGTATATTGCGCCAATAAAGCAACAATTTCTATTGCACACAATCCAGTTCTACATGATAGAACAAAGTGTTAAGCTCCAGACCACGGTAAGTAAAATTGAGATAGAATTCCAGAAGAAATTCTATAGTAGCTCGATTGTATTAATGGCAGAAAACTGATTACAGAAAGATAAGGGGATTTTCGAGAGATCCCGTGCTCTCCTAGGGTTCCTTCTCTCGGAAGATTGTACAAATGATTCGATACCCCTCTTATTCTACTCTCTATCCTATTTATACTCCTAACTCCTATTCCTTACACCAAATTCCAGCCTAACTAACTAACTAACCTCTGCTGACTCAGCATCTTCCTCATTCACTCCACAAGTGTTTTCCTCCACCTCAGCAACCTCTTGAGTTTTAGCTGCCCTCCTTGGCTCGTGAAGGTGTCTCCTCCGAGAGTATGTAAAACGCACGGAAGGCTTATCACAAAGCATGTAGAAGTGGATAGACATTTTATCAAAGAGAAACTTGACAGTGGACAAATTTGCATAACATACATTCCCACGGCTGATCAAGTTGCTGATGTTTTCACAAAAGGATTTCACAAGAAACAATTTGATAGACTAATTAGCAAGCTGTGTATGGAAGATATTCTCCATCCAGCTTGAGGGGGAGTGTTGAAATACACAAAATATTCTCATAAGATTAGTCAACTTTCCAGTTTTATGTTTGATGTAAATAGGCAAATTTGTTTCCTTCTTTCTTTCACGTAGAATAGTCAAATATTGTGAATTAGGAAAGTTAGAATTAGGGAAGTTAGATGTATTTTACTCTTTCCTGTGTTTACTTTTTCTTTCCTGTTTTCTTTCTCTTGTATTCGGCTATTTATAGCCTGTAAATTCAGTGATCAATAAGAAAGTTTCGAACCATTCTTTTGTTAAAGTATAAAACAATTGTTGGCCCACCTCCTAACAGCTTAAACTTTTGGGATGAATTGGTAAACTAACATGGTATCAGAGCGGGAGGTCCTGAGTTCAAACCCCCGTAATTGCACTCTTTATCCACATTTAAATTGTCATCATGTGTTGGGTCTTTAATATATCTCGGGCTTAAATATTCACATGTTGGGCTTTCCAATTAATTTACCCACACGATTACCCATTGTGCAACCCACACGTGAGGGGGAGTGTTAAAGTATAAAACTATTGTTGGCTCACCTCCTAACAGCTTAAACTTTTGGGATGACTAACGTTCCAGTTTTGTTACAACCATCAACTTCTACACAAAGGCAAACTAATAAGAAGAAGAAGAAGAATTAGAAGTTCCAAGAACTCCTATTCAGCCTACAACGCCTCAGCATGAAGAATCTTCTCCAGAATCACCGCCTAGGAGAATGAGATCTAACATCTATGACACTTGCAACTTTGCCACTCTCGAACCAGAAAATTTTGAAGCAGCATCTAAATAGAAAGTGTGGGTGTAAGCGATGGTAGAAGAGATAGAGATGATAGAAAAGAACAAAACATGGGAGCTAGTCAAGCGTCCAGAAGACAAAGATATCATTGGAGTTAAGTGGGTTTACAAGATGAAGCTTAACTCTGACGGATCAAGACAGAAGCACAAAGCAAGGCTCGTAGTGAAAGGCTATTCACAGCAATATGAAGTTGACTACAACAAAACTTTTGCACATGTTGCTCGATTCGACACAATCAGAGTTCTTATTTCTCTAGCTGCACAAAAGAAGTGGAAGATTCATCAATTAGATCTGAAGTCAACATTCCTAAATGGATATCTTGAGGAAGAAATCTATGTAGAGCAACCACAAGGATTCAAAGTTAAAGGACAAGAAGACAAAGTTCTTAAGCTAAAGAAGGCGCTTTATGGACTAAGCAAGGACCACGAGCGTGGTACAACATAATCGACGGATACTTCACCGAACACAATTTCAGGAGGAGTAAAAGGGAGCCAACACTTTATGCCAAGACCCAAGGTGATGACATTCTCATAGTTTCCTTGTATGTAGATGATCTGATCTATTCCAGGAACAACGAGAAGATGATGAAGGAATTCAAAGAAGATATGATGAAGACTTTTGAAATGACGGACTTGGGCTCGATGCACCATTTTCTCAGCATTGAGATAGACCAGAAAGAAGATGGCATCTTCATATCTCAAAAGAAATACACTAAAAGTGTTCTAGAAAAATTCAAGATGAGTGATTGCAAGACAGTAGCAACACCACTTGTGCCAAATGAGAAGCTAAGGAAAGAAGATGGTTCGAAGATGGCGGATGTTTCACTTTACTGAAGTTTAATTGGAAGCCTACTTTATCTTACAGACGGCCAAACATCATGTACGCGACGAGCCTACTTTCAAGATTCATGTAGAGTCCAACACAAGTTCACTATGGAGTTGCAAAAAGAATTCTCAGATATCTACAGGGTACAAAAACCTACGGCATTTGGTTTGAGTCTACTACAAATGCTAGATTGGTTGGATACGCCGATAGTGATTGGGCTGGATCGGTAGATGACATGAAGAGTACTTCTGGCTATGCATTCTCACTTGGATCAGGAATATTCTCATGGAATTCTAAGAAACAAGAAAGCTTCGCACAATCATCAGCTGAAGCAGAGTACGTTGCAGCGGCAAGTACGACAAGTCAAGCAATTTGGCTCAGGAAAATACTAGAAGACATGGGAGAAGTTCAGAGTCGAGCTACAGATTTCTTCTGTGATAGTAAGTCTGCAATTGCTATGGCAAAAAATCATGTCTTCCACAACAAAACAAAACACATTGCCATCAAATATTATTTTCTAAGAGAAGCTAAAGCTAATCAAGAGATAACACTCAAGTACTGCAAGTCAGAAGAACAGGTCGCAGACATCTTCACCAAAGCGTTACCTCAACAAAAATTTGAAGAACTAAGAACAAAGATTGGCATTTCAGAAATGTCCTTCCAGGAGGATTGTTGAAGTGTGAAGAACATTCTTGAAATTCTTAATTACTAAGCAAAACCAACCAAGCATACAGCTAAGCTTGAGTTGTACGGTAGAAGTAAGCTAGATAGCAAGCAGCTGCATCATTCTTCCAATCATATGCATCTATGTGAGTTACCAGCATACTATTACGTATGACAACCAATTACAAGCATAAAGCTTTGTCATCCACCCAATGAAAATCAAGCACTAGCATCACTTAACCAATCATATGAATTCAAGACTCAAAAAGTGAGGAAGCAAGCATATTGGCGTCTAAAGTTTACCGACTTAGGAAATCTATATATAGGCTGTGTTGCACTTCTTTAAAAAAAATAATAATAAATAAAAAAAAAATCATTTGTAAAAACAACTAGCTTAGCTTTTGTGAGCTTATGCTAAAAGCTCATTCTAGTTCTGGAGACAATAGCTCCGTTTGTACGAACTAATTACCCACCAGCATAATTGTTTGTTTGTCAATAAAAGTTACTATTTCCATTTTATTATTTCCTTATTTTACTAAATATTCCCAAATTCCCTCAAGTTTCTACCAGATTTATTTCTCAGAGGAGATTCAAGTATAATATCACAAAAGCTATAAGATTGGCAGAAGAGAAATCAATGAAAAGTTGATTCTTACAAGAAGCATCATGCCATTTTGCCATATGAGGATGTCAGTGATGCCTTGAGCACTCACAACAAGGCCAAGAGAAAGGGCGTCAACCAGGGGCATTTTGCACAAGAGCGAAGGCACCATAGCCCCAGTGAGTTTGGCAAAGAAACTACAAATTACGAAAAGCCAAACAACTGCGAATGTCTTCATCGACACAGAGTGTACATCTATCGCGGCACCGCTGAGCACGAAATAGCCCGGCAACAGAATCAACGAGACATAAGAATCTAGCTTATCGACCAATGCCGACCCCAGCGGCAGCCCATCCGGCACGACCAGGCCCAACACCATAGGCCCCAGCATGAAATGCTGGCCGATAAACTCACCAAGGAAAGCACAGCACAGGACCATCAGAAATATGGAAAAGGTGTATTTCTCTTTGATTCCTCTCCACATGGATGTATGTCTAACAATTGAGCGCATAATTGGCCTCATTACAAATACTATTAGAATCACCACGAAGCACAAGCTTAATGCCATAAATAGCAACGCTTTGTCCCCTCCAAACGAACTTTGCCTTACGGTGAAGGCCATAATTAGACCGCACCATGACAACATCCCGCTGATCATCGACGAAGACACTGCTAAGCGCCCGAGCTCTGAGTTCAGGAGTTTCAGATCGGCTAAAAGACATGTTGTGACGTGGAAAGAGCTGGAGGACTGAAACACCGCGATGCTGATTATGGACTTGTTTAGAACGGGATCCATCTTCACCGTTCGCTGCAAAAGTAAAGCCACGGAGGTGTTGAGCAACAGAGGGAGAAAGAAACAACACAACCCGATCGCGAGGCCTCTCTTTCCCGAGTGCTTCACCGAATTCAAATCGATCTTAACTCCGACGAGGAACATGAACAGCATGCAGCCGAAGAAGGCAAACGTTTCGGTGACGTAAAAACTCGCCCGCGGGAAAACTTTCTTCACAAACGCATTGTGTCTTCCTAGAACAGACGGTCCCAATGCAATACCTACCTTGTTACGTCAAAAGAAACAATCACGAAGTTAGAACAAAAGGCAGTAAATACAATAAAAAACAGTGTTTTTGTATAAGATACGCCATTGACGTATATAAACAAACATCTGGTGATCATGAGAAAACAAAAAATGCATGAAAGTTTTGTACGCACAAGCATCTGGGAAATGAAAGCAGATTCGCCAAGTGGGTTGAGAACCATTTGGAGAAAGGATGTGAGCAATGCAGATATGGAGAGCTGTAGAAAAAGGACCGAAGATGGGTAATTGAAAGGACTATCGCCAAAGAAGAAACCTTTGGATCTTATGCCTTTGTAATTCATACACACGATTCTAGGAGGCACTGTTTCATTCATTGCAAACTGATTTTTGTAAAAACCAAAGTTAATTCGATTATTGATGCATACGAACAAACACAGAAAAACAGAGAGAGAATGTCTAATTTAGAAGTCACGTTGAAAAATTGACCACTTGTTTTGAATGTTTTGCCTTGCCTCAAGTCATTTGCGATGCAGGCTCAAGGATTAGGCCATTAAGGCAACTGCTTTAGGGCCTTCCTTAAGTTAAGGTCCTTGTTATTAGGATCATCAACTAATTAACTTTACACCTCAAAATATTTAATATATTAATTAATTCTTTTTAGAAGAAAAAACAAATCTTAACTTTTACGTTTTAGTCCAAAAAATGTTGTGCTTCTCTATTAATTTTTAGCATTTTTTTTTTTCCTTCTAAAAATTGACTATGTATATTTTTAAACGCCTCTTGTAGCATAATTAATTGATATTTTTTTTGAAAGGATAATTAATTGATATTTTATTTCAGACATCTTGTAACACTTTTTTCGAACTGTTTGGTTTGAAAACAAGAATAAAAGGGAAAAAAAATAACTTAATCTTGCTATAGCTATTGAACATATGCACTTTCTATTCTTACAACTTAATGATTTTTTTTTTCCAACTTTGTTCTTATTCACACTCTCTTTTTAGAGAGGTTCTTTTGAAAAATTTGAAAAAATAAAAAATAATGTATCTATATCTTATTATTTTTTCTTCATTTCATTTTTGCTATTCCATATCTTATTATTTTTTTCTTTATATTATCCTATTATATTTGTAGTTGTCATTGTTGACAAAAATTCTTAGGGAAATAATAGAAAATAAGTCAATATGAAAAGCTTAAGAAAGTATATAGGTCAATTTTTAGTTATAAAAATTAATAGGTCATAACTTGTCAAGTTATAGTTCATAATCAGATAAGTTATCGACAAATTTGTCAAGTTATGGTTCATAACTAGATAAGTTATGAACAAAAACCGTGAATTATGGACAACAACTTGTCAAGTTATGGTTCATAACCAGACAAATTATGGATGAAAATAGTAATTTGGCCTATTTATTAACTTATGTAAACTATTGGCCTATTAATTTTAATTCATTTCAAGTCTTGGCATATTTCCTTCTTTCTCCCAAATTCTTATTATGTTAGGGTTTTGGTTCAGAATTCTATCTATAATCCTATCATATTCGTTGATTTTTGTAAAGAATTCTTATTATGTTACTTACATTTTTTGTAATAAGTTTTCCGTATTTCACAAATAAGGTGTTACTATTTAATTAATGCTTTGCTATTTTATAAGTGTTTTTTTTAAGTTATGTTTCAAATGAATGTTTTACAAATAATTATAACAGTCTGTAAGGGTCGTTGCACAAAAATACTAAAAGGTTTATGCATTGCATATAGAAAATATGATTCATAATTGGTTCCTCTATTAAAAGGCTTATGAAAAAAAACGCATGTGTTAGTTTTTAGAGAAATAGTAAAAAATATGCTAATATGAAAAGCTTAAGAAAGTATATAAGCCAATTTTTAGTTATAAAAATTAATAGGTCATAACTTGTCAAGTTATAGTTCATAACCAGATAAGTTATGGACAAACTTGTCAAGTTATGGTTCATAGCTAGACAAGTTATGAACAATTATGTACAATAACTTATCAAGTTATGGTTCAGAACCAGACAAGTTATGGACGAAAACAATAATTTGGCATATTTATTAACTTATGTAAACTATTGGCCTATTAATTTTAATTCATCTCAAGTCTTAGTCTATTTTCTTCTTTCTCCCTAGTTTTTAAAAGGTATATTTAAAATTTTGCTTAAGACACAGAGGTTGTTCTTTTACAACGAAATTCAAAAAAAGTTTAAACTCGAGTTATAACTTTATTTAAATTCATGTTCTTTTGTAAAATTTGAGTTTGAACTAGAGTTTGGGGCTAAACTCGAGTTCATAAACTCGAACTCAAGTTAATGAACAATATTTTTTTATTTTTAAAAATGTCATAACTTTTTCGTTTTAATTATGATTAAGATGATTTTTTTTCTATGCATTCACAACGAAAAGACGAATAAAACATCACCCATATATCATATTAAAATTTTTTATCACCATTGAGTTTTTATTAAAATACTATCTAAATACAAATTTAAGTTTTGGCTCACCTAATCACAAACTTAAATAGATTCTCAATTCAAAGCATAACTTAAATGCTCACGTGCAAAATTATAGAAGATCCCCTTTAAGATCAAACAATTTCATCGAATTGAGTATGATTGTATGTGTGATAGCATCTACTATATCAGGAATATCAATGAACCCAATTATTGAAATTGCTCAGGATACCCTTTTTTAGCTTCTAAAAACCTATTTCTTAGTTCAAGATCCCTCTTACTAACTGGAATCAAAGAATTAGTAGATCTGTTCCGCCCAAAATGAGAATGGGCTAGGGTTATGAACTTATAATCGATAATCTGATGATCGAGTCGATTCTATGATTATAAGAATTCGGAACACATGGCTCCTTATCCAGAATGGATGGTACATGTCCCATATCCCCCTGAATACCAAATCCCTAACTTTTTCCGGTTTAATGCAGGAGATGACGCATTGGCTTATTTGGTGTATTTTCAAAAAGAGTTTGGGGTAAGATTTACATTTATAGAGTTCGTGAATCAACGAGTTTTTAATTAAGTGGGCGTTAAGTGTAACGAATTTACGGGAGGTAGAAAATGTTTACTATTTTTATAAAGAAATATTCATTCAAACACAAACTTAAGTTACAACTTTAACTCAAATTATAACTCAAAATCATCACTCAAATCACCTAAATTTAAAAATAAAAAAGAACAACCGCTAATCACTTGAGTCAGTTATAGTCATTTGGCTCTTAAAGTTCACGATGTGATCAAATTACGGAGATTTTGATGTATTCCACGCTACGCCCGTACGCGTCTATGCAGAACTCATCCGACTAACAAGTCATCGATACAGTCAAATGCTGGATAATTAAAAAAGGAACAAAATGATTTAGAGAGAACAAAATACGGAAAAAAAACTAAAAGAAGTTCTAGAGAGAATAATTTTATTATTCGAATACATGAATATCATAATGCAATTTAGTTTATGCCTCAACATAAATCCATACGTTGGTTGACCCACACTCTTGTTTAGCCCATAGTCGTAGACCAATTGAGTCTGCCAAATACATGTTTGACTCCACATCATGACATGCTCAATTATTTGAGTCTGCCAATGATTTAGTTACTTGTTTAAAGTGGCAAAATTCCTTGAGCCTATTCTTGGTGAACTCTCAGTATAATTCAATTGGAATATTTCGTTCAAGAACACTCATAATCAAAGTATTGGACGGACTAACATAATTCGATTTTCACTGGTGGATTCAACAGTCTTGCGGACCCACTTCAGCTTACTTACGATCAAAATCACTATTTTGCTTTCATTATGTGTAAAATCATCTCATAAATGTCAATAAATATTGTTTAGTAGCTGGTAAATCTTATAGTAATCGGATGACGCATTTAATGAGTCCTACAAATAGTGGTATTGTTGTGGTTGTATAGATAGATTAGCAGCAGTTACGTACCTATGTCAAGTTTGAATCTCCCATTCTGAATTAAAAATAATAATAATAATAATAATAACATTATTCCTACCGTTTTGTAAATACGAGAGTCAATAGAAAGAAAATTAGTTATCTGTCGCTCTCATTGTTAAAAGGGGCAAAGATTTGTTTTAGGGAATAATACATGGATTTTGTTTCGCTGCTCTTAGTGCAAGTGAATATTCTTCACAGTTATTTATTTATTCTTTCTCGTTGTACAAGGTTAAATGTCCATTTTCAAATTTTCAACGGCAAAGTTGGTGAGATTTCAACGGACTTCAAACACGGAAATCTCAGGATACCTTCACAATTCGTTTGCTTTCTCCCACCCTATTCTCCATCTATTTATAATATCACGAACATGATTAACAAAAACACTTGCGCCATTTGTGTACATAGGTAGCACCATATAAACGTTGTTGCGGTTTTCATCCTTGCATGCTCAAACTTGTTAGAATAAACAGTCACAATCATTGCATAGTGCTTAATTAATTGTGCCTCATGAATAATGATAATGAGAGCAAAGAAAAAGAAGAACAGTTAAAGGTTTAGAAATACAACTTGAAATTGACTTCTCATTATCTGTCTATTGCTTTTGCTGTTGCTGATGATTACTTGTCCCGTTCTATCTGTATTCATGATATCTACATTCGAAGAAAAATGAAGAAGATACCAAATAAAGAATATACATATTATTACAAAAAGATCACGTCAAAGATCCTGTCTAGTACTCTCTCTTTTCAAGCGCAAGGATTCCTCAGGATCACGCAGCCCCCAAACTCTGGTCTGTTGTTGCACTACCAAAACCGAAGCACCAATTCTGATATCAGAACTGGCGAGTATCTCTCCTATCATCCCCAATTCTCCACGCTCCTTCCATTTCGTGAGTTCGGATATCAGCCACGACTCCTCGTGGCGCCTCCCAACCATGACAAGTTCATAACCGCCTTCCAACGACCTCAGCACGCTAAGCACTCCCTGCCGTTCGGCGACTGTCACCTCCTCAAAAGACACCCTATCATTGCGGAAGGCGCTGAGCCTGAACTTGCTCAGAACGTCAGTGTCGAGGGCCTTGCTCCTCGCGCTTCCCCCAACAATATCGGACGAAGATGAGAAGCAGAAGAGAGTGGTGAAAACATTGGAATGCTTCGACATGCGGCCAGCATATGCCAGTGCTTCTCGGTCATCAGCTCCCCCGAAGAAGAGTACCGCCACTCTGTATAAAGACATGTTTATGCGAAGGGTCGCCAGGACCTTCCTGGGGTTCCCTCGGTCGATGAGGACTCCGACTGAGCAAGGAGCCTTGTCGAGCACATTCTTGTTGAGGTGCCGAAGAGAGTGGGATGACTCCACTACCGTCCCACTAATCCACAACCTGTGGTAAGGGATGATAATGAAGGTTGATCGTTTCTCAAGCGCCAGAGAACAGACATCATTGTGCATTGTCGCGTAGGGAGAAATGCCTTTAAAGCAATGCACTGTCATGTGGTCGCTGTAGTGTCTTTCGAACTTCTTGAAGGCGTTGAAGATCCGCTCGGATTGGGAAGGATACAGCGATGGCTTTTCGCGTGGCTGGTGGGGGACAAGGAGAGAAGAAGCGCGCCCTACGAGCTTTACGAGGTGGAGGACAACCAAATTGATAGGGCTCTCTTTGGTGGGATTGGAGGCTGCAATGAGGTCCATGATTGCCGGGACATTTTCTTGTCTATGGATGCAAGCCAGCATTCTTAGTTCTTCGTCCTGCCTGTGGTGTAAAATAGTCCTCCTTCTGTACGCAAGGAAACGCTTTGAAGGATCATAGAGGGATTTCACAAGAGGTGAGACAACTCCTGTAACAATCACCACAGCGATCATCATAATAGCGAAGCATTCGTCATTCACAACCTGCAGGTTTATAGATATATAGTGTTAAGTGACATCAAATTTCCAACACATAAAAATTAGAAGTTTAAACTTAGGACTACCTACTCTGATACTTTGACATTGTGTTACTACGTTAACAAACTAGCAAAATGGCTTAAGTTGAATATCCAAATACTTGTATCACACCAGAAATAATAAAAATAGAAGATATGGATACATGGCTTACGTACATTTTCCGCTTTCCAAGACATCAACATAAAGAGTTCAACGACGCCTTTTGCGTTCATGATAAGGCCGAGCGAGAGAGCATCCAGAATTGGCATTCTGTCAAGGAGAGGAGGCAGTGCTGCTCCAAAAATCTTGCCAAAAAAGGCAACAAAAACAGTCAACTGAATAACGCCCACATTCTTAAATTGCTGAATGGCGAAAATGTCCATTCTAAGTCCACACATGGTGAAAAAGATGGGCATGAGTAGCACAGAGACAAAGCAATCAAGTTTCTCTACTAAAGCAGCTCCAAGTGGCGGGCCATCTGGAATGACCAAACCTAGAAGGAAAGATGGAACAAAAGCATTCAAACCAACAACTTCTCCCATAAATCCACATACCATTAAGGCTACCAGAACACCAAAAACGTATATGTCCTTTGCAGGTTCTCCTTCAGGGGTCTGTCGAATTGCCCACAAAACTGCGGGACGGATTCCGTAGAATATAGATACAAAAAGTAGGCCAACTGAGGATAAATACCCAACAGACATTATTACAGACTTGTGAGAAGCTAAATGAGCAACAAACTTCACTGCTACAATAGACCAATAACACACATCACATACTATTGAAGAAGAAGAAGCTAGGTGTCCAATCTCTGAATTGAGAATTCTGAGCTCATCAAGAAAGCAAGCAATACTAGGGAAGGCTGTCAGGGACTGTATTGTAACGACGAGTGGGAGGACACTGGAAACATCATGATCCAAAGAGAGAAAATGCTTGAGGATGAAGGCGACGAATCCGGCTAGTACGTAAGGAATTGAGAAGGCTAAGACTCCTATAGCTATGGTCCTCTTACCTGATCTTAGAACTATGTTGGGGTCCATCTTAACCCCGATTAAAAACACAAAAGGCATAAAGCCAAAAACTGATAATGTCTCAAACAGAGCTCTCCCTTTAGGTGGGAAAACTTTGTTTGCAAATGCCGCGTTGCGCCCCATAATTGAAGGACCTAAAATTACACCACCCTGGTGAAAGCAAATAATCAGAAACATGTCACAAATCTCCAACAAGAACTAAATTTAAAATAAATAAATAAAAAACATAAAAATGTGTTTAAAACTTACAAGAATTTGAGAAACAATGGAAGGTTGTCCAAAGGGCTTGAGGAGGAAGGAAATTGACCGGGTGAAGATTGAGATGAGGGAAAGCTGTAACAACAATAATGGGACAGAGAAGGCAAGAGGGTCATCTCCAAACCATAGACCGCTGGAGTTGATGTGATCAATAGCATGGCAAATGTAGGAGGTGGCAACCTCGTCCTGATCATCCACACCGAATTGCATCGGGTCCCGTGCGGGCTATTAGAACCTTGCAGCATAACAGAGAGATGGTGACAAGAACCCTATTGTTTTTGGTTATTGAGAAGCTGCAGAAAAGATGGGAGAAAGCAACGGAGAGGAGAGAGAGACAATGCTATTGCTGTTGCAGGGGAGACCATTTGGGGGATGTTGAGAGACATATGGAAACAATAGAGACAAAAATGAGAGGTAATTGTATTTTATTTTCCTTTTTATACGTTGAGACCTTTGACCAACTAACTTGGCAAGGACATTGGTCAATTTGGTCTTTCCATGCATGGTCCACGAATTTATTAGTTCGTAAAGTCTAGATTGCTTCCTTTTATTATTATTGTTTTTTTATCTTCTTTTTTTTTCTATTTTCCTTTGTCCTTTGGCTTGTAGATAGCCTACTTAAATAGGTACATAAAAACTGCTATTTGTGCGGAGAAGGGAAGGGAAATTGGACGTTGATTAGCATTTTAATGGTAATGATGAAATGACACGTCTTATGAAAATCATCACCATTTAGATCATTCGACATGATTTTTATTATGAAAATGCACAAGAATTCTCTTTAATAACAAACTCATCCAACTCCTTAAAAAAAAAAAAATCCTCATCCAACGGAATACCACACGTGCGAGCCTTTTCATTGGATAATATTAGCTGAATTGCAATGAAACATAGTTGCATTTTCATTCTTATTTGTTGCCAATGCAACTAATCATATAGACATAAACACAATAACGACAATTGGAGAAAATAAAGAAAGTGGTTCCATTTATATTTACTTTGAAAATGTCAAATGAAACTTCTCTATACGAAAAAAAAATGAAATTTGCAGCCTATACTGTACATAAAAAATTAAGGATCTTCAAATAGGAAAAAAGAAATGTTACCACCATTGATGCACAAGAACGCCACTCTCTCTAATCAATTTCAACAAATCCAAGCATTGATCATAAGTTTTCTCATACTTGACGCTCCTCTCACCTGGGCAACACCTCTGCATTCTATTGTAATGGCACTCCAGAAAAAGCTCATCCACCAAACACATGGCTCCCGTTTTAATCAACCTCGGAATCAAATGAAACTCCGTCCCTTCCACGTCCATCTTCACCACCACGAAATCGCTCCGCGACACTGTCTTCTTCAGCCAATCCGCGAAATCGAAGCCCTGAATCCTGTTCACGTCGCGCATGTAGCTAGTCAACGGCATCACCGGCTGAATCCTCCCCATTCCTCTCCTCTTCTTCTTCTTCATCTTATTGGCTGCGCCGCCGCCGCCCCCACCATCGCTGCCGCCTCTCGAGATCTCGAAGAACAGAGTCTCGTTCCTGATCCAAGCCGCGTAGGGCAAAAGAATTACCCCTTTCTTTGTCTTGTACTCTCCGTGAAATGCCTTGTCGGCTTCGATCGCGTAAATTTCAAAGTTCTTGGTCTGTTTCGGATACTGGTTTTGGAACCACTTTCCTATGCTTGAAGCGTAATTACGAGCTCCGACATCAATGTAGACATACCTCTGTTTAAAGCTTATGTCCGCCATTGAAGAAAAGTACTTTACGTTCTTCATGTTTCTTCTCAATGCGATCCAAGGCTTCAATGGCTCTTCTTCAATCAATGGCTCCGCATTGGCGATTATTTCCCGTTTATACCCCGGAACAGAGCACTTATTATCGTCCCTGCCACTGCTGAGATGATTTTCGACAGTCTCTTTCTTTTTCATCACGATTTCGCGGATCGACGGCGAATCCAAGCCGTCGATTTCGCTGAACCTGATTAGCCTACAGCAGTTGAACAAATCAAGAAAGGAGTTGATGCTGTACGGATCTTGAACCGAATCGGTGTGAACCACAAAGAATCCGCCGGGTTTCAGAGTCCGACAGACCTCCGAAGCGAAATCCGCCTGCTGGACAGACCGTTCCAGCTGGCCATTGCCGGAAAACTCGAAGTCGAAGGTGTTCTCATCGAACGGCTGGCGGTAGGATTCCCCGGAGAGGATCAATGGCGGAGACGCCTTCTTGGAGATTCCGACGGAGTCGAGCACGCCGATCTCTCTCAGCGCCGCGACGTCCTCGCCGGCTAGGGTTTCGACGCAGAGGGCCGTCGAATTGGAGGATAGGAAACCCTCAGCGATCAAATCTTGGAAGACGGATGAGTAATAATCGACGGCTCTCCGCCGCCATAAGTCGCGAAAACGTTCTCGCCGGAGACATACGTCGGTGGGGCCGAAGAAGAAGTTGTTCTCCTGGAAGTGGCAGAGACTGTCGGCGGAGCAGCAGTAGCCGCCGCCGGTGAGTGTGAGGAGGAAGGCGAATCGGACGGCGAGTACTAGAACGCCTAAGGAGATGAATCGTAAGAGAATGATCCTCAGGATTTGAGGTTTCGACTTGGCAAACCCCATGAATCCAGAAAGACGATTTCTTTTTGTTTTTTCTTTTCCTTTTTCTTTTTTGTCTTTTTTTTGTCCTTTTTTTTTCTCTTTTTTGTCAAGCTTGAAGTTTGAAGGAAGAGGTGGTAGGATTCGCAAATTCAAGGATGTTGAATACGGGGAAGACGGTTGTGTTCTACCCGCCAAAATTCGGTTCTTGAACGAATATTTGTCTGGGCGCCTAAGTTTGTCGTTTAGAAGTTAGTTGTAGTTTGAGAAAAACGACATGTAGTAGAAGCTTTAGATGTTTGTTGCCGTTTAGGCCTCCTCCATGTAAATCTTGCTATCGTTTGTCACTAAAAGAAGACCACGGTTTTTAGAAAGAATAGAGAGAGAAGAATTAGAGACAAGAAGGGTGATTTTACAATTTAGAGAGAGAAAGAAGAGTGAAATTAGAATTTAGTGAGAGAAAGAAGATAAAAAAGAGAATATTATTATTACCAATCACAAATAGTTTGAAAATAATGAACATAGAGACATCTATTTATAGATAGGTAAATTTTTGCCTAATTCAATTCCTAAAGCAAATCTAACTCTTAATAACTATTGTTAACGGTGATTTTCTGATAACGCGTGATTAACTCTCTAAAGACACTCACAATAATCACTCACGAATTAGCTAAAGATTAAAGCCGTAAAATAACGTAAAGTAGACAAGAATTTATAGTGGTTCGGCAAGAATTCTTGGCCTAGTCCACTTGTGGATGCACTAATCTTTCTGAGATTATAGGTTCTTCTTTGAGTAATGAAACAGTGCGTAACCCTTCAATGGGGTTTTTTGGGCCTTTACATGTGAGAGATCTCCTTTGCATTCCCTGAGGGAGTCATCTTCTATCCCTGGATTTTGGGATCGCGTAGGTGCATTTTCATGATGACAATCTCAAGAAATCAGGCTAACCTCTCTTACCGACAACCTGATTTCCTGACTTCGACAGTAGCAATTGGTACAGTGCATCTTTCCCTGAGTTGACAAGACTGTCGATGGATTTGACTGGACCTGCTACCTCGACGTAATGGCCACCACAGGTCGAGCGAGGTGCTCAATGTCCGTTATCCTGCATGGGCTCTCGACGTCCAAAGGGAACCTTAGCTACAGTGGTTCCCTCGACGCCAGCAACCGATTCTCAACGGGGAAGCCTCGGCGTTTGTCGTTCGAGAGAATGATCCATTGCTCGACCATAATGTAACAACTATCTCATCTGAAAAGACAAGTCGTTATGAATCACGATAAAGAAAGAAATAAGGGGAAAACATGTTTTCGGTTAAATATAGCTGAATGAGGTGTAATACATGTCAAATATTCTCACTTATTTATTTTTGCTAATCACATGTCAGTTTTACTCTTGGAACCGCTTTCTTTTTATAAACATCATGTTCTTCCAAGTTCTAATTCCCTGGATTATAACGATTTGGTCTTTTCTCTGTATATTATGCTATGGATTTATTTTTTTTAATAAATTTAGTTTTTAGTCCTAAAACTAATAATGCACTTTTAAAAATTTAATCGATTACTTTTGTAATTTATGTTAACTTTCAAAATTTTATCATTAATTATAAAGTTAGGACCAAAATTTCCAGGAGATATCATTCATTTATACAAGTTTATTACCTTTTTTCAGTGTGTGTATATATATATATATATACACGAGTTTCTTGGTAAGAATAGTTATTTATTTTAAATCATTATAAAAAATTATTTATTCTCTATATTTTTTTAACCTAATGAGTATTTAACTTAATCTAACGATTAAAAACTAACCGTATGAATAGACTACCCTAACAGAAAAACTTCCTATATATATCATAACTTTTGTCTTAAACCCATGAGAAAATGACAACACTTTTAAAGTGATACTGTGTATTTTTTTATTTATTTTAGGAAAGTGATACAGTTTATTTAATAACTAGTGGTAGCAATAGTTCCATAAACATCTCAAATTTTAATTAAAAGTACAAACACATTTTTTTCCCCTATGAAATGCCGTTTTTATTTTAGAATCTGCCTCCTTTTCATTTAGAACTGGAAGATTAACACGTCGTTTTTTATTTAAACAAACTCTTAAAAATCGGACTCACTGAGTTATAACATTTAATATGTTAATGGTTACTAAATATTTATTAATATCGTTATTTTAACTGTAAGATATTAATCTGACAGTTGTAATAAATTTAATACTTGATCAAAAAAATTTATAATAATTTATAAAATTAAATTCTTATCACATTACATCATTAAATTTTTATATTTAATAATTAATTATTGATGAAAACATAATCATTAAAAATTAGTCTATATATGTATATAAATAGCGCCAAAATTAGCTTCCAAAATTATTTTGGTGAAACAAATAGAAATAATTGGTATAAATTAATAAATCCAAACTTATGGTTAGTTTTGCTTACATACACTAAAAAACAGTAACCTTTAGCTAATTGAGAGCTTCTTTGGTAGGTCTAAAAAATATGAACTATCAAAGTTTTTTATTTTCAACTGTTATATTTGTATAAAAAATTATATACTCTGCATACTTTTTTAATCTGGTATAATTTTAACCTGATCAAACGGTTAAAAATTGACACTATTAATAGACTACACTTACTAGAGAAACTCCCTTAGTTAATAAATCTAAACCCAATTATGTTAAATTTGGTCCTATCCCTTAACCAGTTGATCTCGGACGACGATCCTATCACAAGTTTGATTAAATAACTCCTAAATAATTATCTTGTAATTTAGGAATGTTATATAATCAGGTTGACTTTTGATTTAATTTGTAGAATATCACGAGTGTCGATTAACATAATAAAAAATAAGTGTAGGAGAGATCACATGGATGCCGACTTGACAAACATTCATGGATTTACTCTACGTTCTTACGTTTGTACTTGTAATTGTACCTCCATTTTCCCAATTAAGTTGCGCTATTCTTAACCTTAAATCAATGTGAACTTTAAAGTGATAATACTTGGCACAGCACAACTCTTGGAACTTCCCTTGACCTTCGAGAAAAATAATTCACCCTGTTAACGTGCTCATATGCAAAGAGAGGATTATAAATTAAGGCCTCGTTCACTTTGCTGATTCGAATTTAGAATTTAAGTTTAGATATAATTTTATGTAAAAATTTTTTACTGTAATAAAAAAATTAAATATAATTATTTATAAGAACTTTTTATTATAAAAAAATTTAAATTTTAAACTCGAATTAACGAAATGAACGGGACTTAAAAAATCTCTTCTTATTTACTCTGTTCATTAATTGGATATATCCATAATCACATGAGCAAAGACGTGACGTGTTTGTATTCTGATGATTATGCAATTCTTACGTCATACAACTCACCTAGAAAAAAGGCAAGTGGCACGTACCGTACAGCTATTGAGTTACTCCACCAGTTCTAAATTAAAACAAACTCATAAAAAATTAAAAAAAAAAATGGACACAAGGAAAACGCCAAAGGGAAATGGAAACCAATTTTCCCCGCAATTAAACAAGAAATCTCCATAGAAAATTGGATTAAAGAAAAACAACACAAAAAGAGGATAGACATTAAACGTTGCTTGGTCGGTGCTGGGCAACCCTCGGACAGGATAGGGTCCCTCCATGTCTTTTCAGCTTTCATGTTACAGTTTTGCCTCTTAAGCTTCCGATAGCAATGAACACGGACAAAGGGCAATAAAGTAACTTTGCAAAATAGAGGAGGGCCCCACACGGAGTACCCAAGAAGGATCTATATGGGAACACAAAAGTTGACCTTTGACTTTGCTTGTGCAACTTGTGCACCAAGTAAATGTAACAGCTCCACAACTTTGACTGATTCAAACCTCTCAATTGGTCATTATCCAATGACGACTTCACTATTGCCAAAACGAAAAGTTAGAAACCCTATATTTCGCCGATTTCATTTAAATTTTATTATAATAAAAAATTTTAAAAAACAACCACATTTAATTTTTTATTATAATAATAAAATTTTACATAAAATTACATATTAATTTAAATTAAAAATTTAAATCAATAAATAAGCCTAAAATATATTATTGGATCCCACGCTCACTTCTAGAAGTCTGTAGGAAACTTTCGTATCAATTCTCTCCCCTCTTACTCCATTTTTTAAAGTAGAAGCGAAAATATGTGCCTTTGGTTTTTGCTTGAAATAAAAGACCAACTTTCTAATTTGTTTCTTTCTTTTACTGATAACGAAGCAAAGAGGAGAAACGAAAAAAGAAAAAAATATTCTTTACTCACGTGTGATACAAAAAAGATGAATTGAGGCTCTCCTAGTAGGAGTCCAGAAAAGCCTCAAAACAATAAAATAAAATAAAATTAGTTATAGCAAACCCCTATAGACTATACCATACATTGTTGGATGATTGATACACACAAACCAATCCTTGTAATTTAAAGAACAAAAAAAAATATACATACACATATAACAAACAAAATCCAATGAATAGAATCCACCTGAATTTCTTCTTCTGCTGCTGCTTATTATTTCTGATTGTAAGTTGTGACCTTCTTCAGCATAGCAAAGAATCAAGGAACGAATTGTCATCCCTCGGTTCTTCTTTGGTTTTGGAGTAGACACTTTCAGTGAGCTGAGACTGAGTCATGTAAGAGCTCGTGGAGTTTCCAAACCCTGCATTGAACCCGAAACTCCCGGCCGGGCCTTGCAGCATCTCCAAGGTGAAGGGCATTTGCCCTTCGGAGCTCTGTAGCCGCAGACTCTGAAGAGGGTGGTTGTTAGACGAATGGTGATGCATGTTAGTAGTAGTGTTGTTGTTGTGAGCCATGGCCGAGGGCCTTATTGCTGTCACTGCATTGTTGTTTGTGGTGGTGGCGGGGTTGTTTGGCAAAGGCCTATTGACGCTGCTGCTGCCGCGGGCTGCGGGGACGTCGTGGTTGTGCTTCCCTTCGTAGGTGGTGATCACTGCTCTTAGATCATGGGAAGCTCGCTCAACATGTTTCCTCACTGGACATCCCGGGTTTGTGCACTTGTAGTAGCTTCTGCAACAAGTATAAACGTGACACATTATGAGAAAAACACTTTTTTGTATATTTGCTTTTCTTCAGTCCTTTTATAAGCACAATTAAAATAAAAGCATGACTTTTAGAATTAAAATATAAGTAGAAAAAGCAGTTAAAAGTATTGAAAAACAAAAGCATTTAGAAAGCTTTAGTCTTGTATCACTTTGTTAAGGCATATGGAGATATGGAGAATTCTTTGGTGGAGTATGTCATACCAGTTATAAATATTTATTGAAACGTACTTTTTCTAGTATGCTATAATATTGTTGTACACATAATTCTCCAATAAGGATAGTGAATGACGTGTTACTCGGGAAACTGGTCCCAACAAGAAGATAAGACTAATAATGTGAGCCAGAGACACAATGGGCGAAAATCAGTAGTGAAATAACAGTTGCAATAATGGTAATAATGATCGCAAAACTTAAAGAAGAAACTATCTTTTGAAAGTTTGCCAAGGAATATTGAAGACGAAAGTTTGAGCTTCTTTTTACCTCGGATTTGGATTTCCTTTGACCACTTTCTGCCCGTATTTCCTCCATCGGTACCCATCATCTAGTATATCGATATCACTAGTTGTTTGAACCACAACTCTCGGTTCTCTCACTGTTCTACTCCCAGGTGCCGAAATTCCTTCGTTTTCACCTTCTCTTTTCCTTTAAAATACAAAAAAGAAAGATCAATCAGAGAAACGAACAACCCATCCAAAAAAAAACACATCTAACAAGGGATTAAAAAGAAACAAAGGTAAATTGTCATTTGCAACTTGAACTTTAAATTTTTAATTTTGACATTTAAGCTCTTAAATTCATCATCTTTGGAAAAATAATCCATCCGGGTAACGGATGTCGATTAAGGTTTAAAATGCCAAAATTCAAAAAGTTTAAATCGCGACAACAAAATTGGGGTACGTTTTTTGTCTATTAATTGACGTCTGTTAGCTGTAAAAAAAAATTAAATTCAGAATTCCGCCAAAACTGAAAATTTAGAATCCAAATTACTAAACCCCGATAAATTCGAGAGCATCAATGCAACTAATCCAACAAATAGTTCGCAAAATTTACCATCTTTTGGCATCAGGCTCATCCTCATCAAACTCATCCCCACCAGATTTGCTCTTCTGAGAGCTCTGCTCAAACTCATCATCCCCGACCGATATGGATGAGTTCTCCGGCGTGGCAACGCAAGAATCCACTTGCCCGTTTCCTTGCGAGCAGACATACGATTGATCCGAGACGATTTCATTGGTAGAACTCTGAATCGCCGACGATGAAGAAGACGACCTCCTCGTCGACTGAGGCTTGGGATGGTTGTGACTTCCCTTGTAAACAATCTCAGTGATTTGCCCGTCCAACGCTCTCTCCACTTTCTTCTTAGTTGGGCAATTCGGGTACGTGCACTTGTAATAACTCCTCGGGTTTTCGCTTCCCTTCACCTGTTTCTGACCGTATTTTCTCCAGTTGTACCCATCGTCCGATCTCCTGCTTAAGGACTGGTGACTCTGCAGAGGGTAATTGTTGTACTCCGTTTGGAAATCGTTGCTTTTGTTTGCGAATTCGGGTTTTACGTCTTGCTTGGTCGGTTCCTGATAATTATTCCATGCCTGGTGACCAGAGAAGAATGTTACAACAGAGTAAATAATGAAAGAAAAATAGGCAAATTATAGGGTGAGAGTTTAAATTACAGCTTGAGATGAGGAGTTTGAAGATTGGAAGATTAAGGATTGGGATGATGTGGGAGGCCTTGTTTGGGTTTGGAAGGAGAAATCTGAGAAGTTTTTGTCTTCTTGTTTGACGCTTTGTTGATTGGTGGTCTTCCAATTGGAGGCGTGAGCTGCAAATGTTCCGGTGGTTGGAGACGGCAGAATCTGAACAGAAAAAGAACCCCAAAAAAAACAAACATAATGTTCGATCAGTACTCTGATTCGGAAAAACAAAAACAAACAAACAAACCGAACAACATAAAAAGCAACAAAAAGTAAAAATTCTTACGTTGGAGGAGTTGAGGAGAACAGGGGAGTCGAGAAGCTCGGCGGGGCTGAGGCCGGCGGGGATGGCGAAGTAAGAAGAAGGGGAAACAGAGGGCGGGGAAATGGGTAGAGAGGGAGGAGGGAGAGACTTGAACTTGGGGACGCCGGCGCCCCAGCCGGTGCGCTCGGCTACGCGATCCGATAGCCCACGGCGGGTGGGGTCGCCGGGCGGGGGGGG